CTATTTTTTTCTTGAAATTGATTAATCATGATTATATTTATTTAACTACTCCTTTGGAACAGTTGTTTCATGTCATACCTCTAGGTCTATGTATGACATTCCATGTCAAGAAAATAATGAATCTCGGGAATGCAAGATGGGTAAGGCAGTGTAAAAATCACATCAATCTTAGTAGGGTCTACTGAAATTTCTTTTTCAGAAATTATGTGACCCAAAACAATTCCATGTTCAACCATTAAATGACACTTTTCATAATTTAAAACTAGGTCAGTTTTGATGCATCTCTCTAAAAACCATATTTAAACTGTTCAAACACGCATCATATGAAGAGCCATAAAAAGTAAAATCATCCATAAACACTTTCATGCAATTTTCAATAAAATCAACAAAAATGTTAATCATGCATCACTGGAATATGCCAGGAGCATTGCAAATACCAAAAGGCAACATCCTATAAGAAAATGTACCGAATGGTCACGTAAAAGTGATATTTTCTTGATCTTCGGGTGCAATATGAATCAAAAAGTAACCTGAAAAACAATCAAGAAAGCAATAATGTGATTTACTAGCTAACCATTCAAGCATTTGGTCAATGAACAACAAAGGAAAGTGATCATTTCTAGTATCTTGGTTCAATCTCCTGTAATCAATACAAACTCTCCAGCTATTTTGAAATCTAGTGGGAACAAGTTCATTCTTTTCATTTTTTTTACCACAGTGAGTCAAGATTTCTTAGGTACAACCTGCACTTAACTTACCCAATTATTATCAAAGATAGGATATATGATACCTACTTGCAAGAGTTTGGTTACCTCTTTCTTCACAACATCGAGGATCAAAGGATTAAGCCTCCTTTGGGGATGCCTTACTATTTTTGCTCCATCCTTAAGTAAAATCCTGTGCATACACATGAATGAGTTAATACTTGGAATGTCATAGAATGTCCACCCAATCGCCTTATTATGCTTCTTCAAAACCTGTCAAAGCTTATTTTCTTAATCAAAATTAAAGTTAGAAGAAATTACAGTTGAAAGTTTTTCATTCCTTTCTAAATAAGCATATTTCAGATTTTCAGGAAGTGGTTTTAGCTCTAGGAAAGGTGGTTATTCAATGGACGGTGTGTTTGGGGAAGTCATGAAGTCAAGAGCTCCAACTGCATAAAAAGCTTCATCGACAACTTCACTTGTAGGAAAAATGTCACTCTGCAAGGCAGAGTCAATCTCAACACATACAACACAAATGTTAGTGTTAGTACAATCATCACATGAGTAAACATCATTAAAAATATATAAAGATGGAAAATCAGTTGAAAACAAATCGGAATAAACTTCATCAACAATTTCAGAAAGCAACTCTATTTGAAAAACAAAATGCTCTTCCAAGGGATGTTTCATAACATAAAAAATGTTGATTTTCGCGACAATGACACCAAATTCCATGGACATGCACTACAAAAAAGCGCGTAAATTACAGCAGTTATTTCAAGTAAATTGGGCGGATTTAACCGTCATAATTTACAAAGACGACTTTTTAAAAAAAATGCCGTAAATTTGGCTGCCGCAAGGGAAATAACGACGGTTTAATACTAACCACCGTAACTTTCACAGTTAAAAGTGGCGATTTCAAGTAGAAAATAATGAGGGGTTTAACCGTCGTCATATACATTACAAATATCAAGTTATATTATAAAATCATTGTACATATTTATAAAACCGTAATTATATATATATATATATATATATATATATATATATATATATATATATATATATATATATATATATATATATATATATATAACAGTCGTATTATTCATTTATGAATATGCTAATATTTTCAAATTAATTTAGGTAACCATCGCAATTTACATTTATTAAATTATTTACGGTCCCACGCATAGTAAATTTCGTCAAATTACTTTGAAAAATATATTTTTGAAATATGTTAAAATAAATTTAAATTTTTCCACAATTTAACACTAACAATAAAAGGCAGAATCAGCTTTCAATCTTTAACATACCATTGACGCATAATCATCCTTCAACTACAACATGTTCTTCTGTACACCACATATATATTTGCAATAGTCAACAACTTAACAAAGATTCTTGAATTGAAATATGTGTATGCACTTTTTCCAGCACCATAAACATTCTGACAAATCATTTCATCTTAAAATTGTATCAATACATAGGACTAATCCAATTGTTTACTAAAATGCTTCTTGTTATTAGTAACTTGAAGACTATCAAGTTTAATTATCTAAACATTATGATAATAATTGATTAGCATTATTTTCAAAATCATGTCATATATATTAGATATAGATATACTACAACCTAATAATTTGAACTTGGGAAGACATTTATTCCTGTTGGATGCTTGATTCACCTATTGTGATGTTGACGGCGATGATGGTGTCCTCTAATATAAAATAAACATATTCAATAACATTGGAGATTATCTATATATATAAGGCGGAATCAGCCTTCAATCTTTAACATACCATTGACGCATAATCATCCTTCAACTACAACATGTTCTTCAGTACACCACATATATATTTGCAATAGTCAACAACTTAACAAAGATTCTTGAATTGAAATATGTGTATGCACTTTTTCAAGCACCATAAACATTCTGAAAAATCATTTCATCTTAAAATTGTATCAATACATAGGACTAATCCAATTGTTTACTAAAATGCTTCTTGTTATTAGTAACTTGAAGGCTATCAAGTTTAATCATCTAAATATTATGATAATAATTGATTAGCATTATTTTCAAAGTCATGCCATATATATTACATATAGATATACTAGAACCTACTAATTTGAACTTGGGAAGACATTTATTCCTGCTGAATGCTTGATTCACCTATTGTGATGTTGACGGCGATGATAGACACTATTGCTGCATTGGAAATTCCAGCAACATCAATTGACAATAGAAAATTAAGTGTTCCAATAGCAAAGTCTTCCAATATAGAATAAACATATTCAATAACATTGCAGATTATATATCTCTGAAGGTTATAAGAGACATATTCGCAAAGACAACAAACTCTACTTTTTTTGTCATGATTTTTCAGACTCCATTTCTATTAACATGAATATCCCTATATCATGTACCAAAAAGAAAAATAATGTAACATACAACTTACAATACTAATGTGACATTTAAAATTAAACAAAAAGGTATGGTGAACTAAAATAAAATAAAAAATTCAATTAGGATTATAGAACTAATACATATTTAAAACCAAAGGATTAAGCCTCCTTTGGGGATGCCTTACTATTTTCGCTTCATCCTCAAGTAAAATCATGTGCATATACATGAATGGGTTGATACTTGGAATGTCATAGAATGACCACCCAATCGCCTTCATATGCTTCTTCAAAACCTGCCAAAGCTTATTTTCTTAATCATAATTAAGGTTAGAAGAAATTACAGCTGGAAGTTTATCATTCCTTTCTAAATAAGCTTATTTCAGATTTTCAGGAAGTGGTTTTAGCTCTAGGAAAGGTGGTTATTCAATGGATAGTGTGTTTGGGGAAGTCAGGAAGTCAAGAGCTCCAGTTGCATAAAAAGCTTCATCGACAACTTCACTTGTAGGAAAAATGTCACTCTGCAAGGCAGAGTCAAGCTAAACACATACAAAACAAAGGTTAGTGTTAGTACAATCATCACATGAGTAAACATCATCAAAAATATATAAAGATAGAAATTCAGTTGAAAACAAATCACAATAAGCTTCATCAACAATTTCAAAAAGCAACTCTATTTGAAAAACAAAATGCTCTTCCAAGAGATGTTTCATAACATAAAAAATGTTGATTTTCATGACAATGACACCAAATTTCATGGACATGCACTACAAAAAAGCGCGTAAATTACCGTAGTTATTTCAAGTAAATTGGACGGATTTAACCGTCATAATTTACAAATACGACTTTTTTTTAAAAATGCCGTAAATTTGGCTGCCGCAAGGGAAATAGCGGCGGTTTAATACTAACCACCGTAACTTTCACAATTAAAAGTGGCGATTTCAGGTTGAAAATAATGAGGGTTTTAACCGTCGTAATATACATTACAAATATCAAGTTATATTATAAAACCATTATACATATTGATAAAATTGTTATAATATATATATATATATATATATATATATATATATATATATATATATATATATATATATATATATATATATATATATATATATATATATATATATATATATATATATATATATATATATATATATATATATATATATATATATATATATATATATATATATATATATATATATATATATATATATATATATATATATATATATATATATATATATATATATATATATATATATATATATATATATATATATATATATATATATATATATATATATATATATATATATATATATATATATATATATATATATATATATATATATATATATATCATCACAAATCATTTCATCTTAAACATTATGATAATAATTAATTAGCATTATTTTCAAAATCATGCCATATATATTACATATAGATATACTAGAACCTACTAATTTGAACTTGGGAAGACATTTATTCCTCTTGGGTGCTTGATTCACCTATTGTGATGTTGATGGCGATGATAAACACTATTGCTGCATTGGAAATTCCAGCAACATCAATTGACAATATATTAAGTGTTCCAATAACAAAGTCTTCCAATATAAAATAAACATATTCAATAACATTGGAGATTTATATATTCGCAAAGACAACAAACTCTACTTTTTTTGTCATGATTTTTCAGACTCCATTTCTATTAACAAGAATATCCCTATATCATGTACCAAAAAGAAAACTAATGTAACATACAACTTCATCTCAATCAAAAATGAAGATAACCAAATTCCAATACTATTTGAACAATGAAAGTGACATTTAAAATCAAACAAAAAGGTATGGTGAACTAAAATAAAATAAAAAATTCAATTAGGATTATAGAACAAATACATATTTAAAACCAACTTCCTCCCAACTACGTTCCTCATAGCCGTCATAACAGTTAAAAAACAGGTTTAATAATTTGGAACCAAAATGAACTAAAACTAGATCTGAACCATTTTCAATATAAAACATAAATGCAGAAATCATAATATCAAAAAATTTAACTTCACCATTAGAATGAAGCGCAATATTACTCAATTTGAGAAGATAATCCAAATCTTCAAGAGTTTCCCTGAGAATGGATCCAATTGCACCTTCTACAAATCCATCTGAATAAGCTGCTTTGTTTCCATGAGATACAAACAATAAGTAAAGAGTCCTGCACCATCTATAACAAAAACACTTAAAGTTTACGAGAAAAAAGAATGAACAACAGAATTTAATGACGTCACTATGATCAATTAAACTCATGACTGCCTATCATTTTTGTTATCTTGTTATCACTTAACACTGCAAGTTATTTATTCTAGAAGCTTGTTAATTTGAAGAGAATTTTCTACTTTACAGAGTTTCAAACTTCTCTTCATGAAGAGGTTTACTTGTAGGCAATGAATGGGATTTTGTATTGAATAATGTAATGAATATGCTTTTGAACTTAATAAATGAGTGGGGAATATTGGGTTTTTACCCTCTAGGTTCAGTAATTTGCAGTTGGATTCTAGTTTTTTAAATGAATGAAATGCTAAACACGACTAAAAAGTTACATGGAAATGGAAACAAAACTAAACTATGAGAATTAATAAACAAAACTGAAAGTTATTTTCAACTTTAAAAACAAGGATCACTCCACTGAGAAGAAAAAAGAGAAGGTCAAGTGGCGGCAGGAACCTAACAAGGACCACTGCAAATATAATAAATTAAAGTAAAAGTAGGTCACACCTCAACAAAAATTAAACCACCTTTGCTCCTTGGCCCCCCTTTAGCCATCGCTTTAAAGGTAAAAGCGTTGCTAAAATCCCCCTTTAGCCAACGTTTTTACTTTTAACAAAGCGTTGTCTTTTACTACAGTAGTACTGGAATAGACAGCGTTACGCTTTTACTTTTAACGAAGCGTTGTCTTTTTCTACAGTAGCACTGGAATAGACAGCGCTTTAAAACGCTGTCTAAATTCAAAAAAACGCTGTCTAAAGTCTTGTTTGGCGCATCATCATCATCATCGTCGTCATCATCATCATCGTCGTCATCATCATCGTCGTCATCATCGTCATCATCATCATCATCATCATCATCATCATCATCATCATCATCATCATCATCATCATCATCATCATCATCATCATCATCATCATCATCATCATTTTATTATTTTCTGATATTAAATTAATATATTTCTCTTTTTCTGTGTTTATTTGTCCGTTTTTTTATTGCGCACATATGTCAAAATATAAGCGGGTATTTTCAAAAATAATTTTGATTTTAATTCAAATTATTAGTGTAATAAACTTTAAAATATGCACTCTGAAGTTTGTTTGCTAGTCAACTTTAGTACACAAACGCAAGAAATTATAATATATCGTTTTTTTTTTATAATTTTGATTTTAAATTAAACTATTTGTCAATTAAAATAATTGCACTCCATATCTTGCTTTTTTTTAAGTGCGCCGACGTGTGGAATTATACATGATACTTTTTATTTAATTTTGAATTTAACTTAAATTATTTAAAATGATAAAACATATGATACGTATTCATGCATATGTGATATGTGACATGTATTCAATCAAGTCTAAATTTTCTCTTTCTGTGCATATCAATTATTGAAACATATTTAGGTCTCTTTATGCATTCATTCTAACATCTAAAAAAACATTTTGATGCCTCAAAACATTCTAACATGTAAAAAAAACTATTTTGATGCCCCAAAACAAAATGAAATTCATCAAAATATATTCAAGCAATATAGAACATGTGTTATATTTAAAGAAAATATACATATATGTTTAAGAATATTGTTTTTTATACATTCTACACACAACCTGTATTAACAACTCTTAAGCAATATACATGTGGATTTCAAAAGGAGATACAGTTTTATAATTTTAATAAGAAAATGATGGAAAGCTATTCTATTGAAAAATGTATCTGTACAAATCAGCACAACAAATTGTTGATAATCATTCAAGTGTGGTAAAATAGGAAGTAAAATAAACATTATTACTATCAATAATTTGACTTTATATATTATAGAGATAAATCATCAAAAGTGACAAAAAATATATAAAATCATAAGTAATAAAAAAAAATTAACATTATTCCTATCAATAGTTTTAACTTAATAGTTGACAAAATAAATATTATTTCAATGGCACCATTCACTCTACATTTCTACAGAAACTTCATTAATTTTAATTTTTTATGGTTCAAGCTTATCCATTAGACCATTTCTCCTTTCTCTATTTCTCCATTCCCTTTTCATAATCATTTTCCTGTTTTATTTTACTTTTCACTCATTACATAAACATCACCCTCCACATTTTCATACTAGGGAATTCAATTTGTGTGGCTGTGAATTTCAAATGATAGAGGCAACATGCAGCAAGTGAGAGAAAGGGAAAATAATGATAGTTATTAGGGGCAATCGAGGAATAAAAGAAATTATAAAACTCCAATCCATCAAAATGAAAGCTAGGATTTATGGCTTTGAATAGAATTGAGTTTAAAAGACCGAACCAATTGTTGAAGAGAAAAACAAACATACCCTCATAAGATGTCATCTATAAACCGTAGTTTTAGCCAAAATTTCAAATTATTGAAACTTAATGAAAGGAATATGATATATCACACAAATCATTTATGATTAAAGAAAATTAAATTAAATGTGCAACAAAAACAAAAAATCCTAATTACACAACAAAATCAACCATTACATCATCTCAATAAATTCATCAATATGAAGCACATGTGGAGAATAACAAAAGCAAAGTAAGTCTAACGTTAAAAAATATGAATACTAACTTTTTTTCTTTAACCTTGATAACAAATGTATTAAACCAGATTTAAATTTAAGAGGAACAACAATATGAGCATATTCGATACATAAACCATTATAATTAACATTAGGAGCAGAAAAATCTCTTAATGTTCTTTGTTCAACCATGTTATAATCAAAAGCAAGTTCAGAATAAAGAAAACGGATTAACGCAATCGTGAATTAATCAAACACGTCCGAGAAACGAGTTGCTGAGAATGTACATATGAAACACCAATTTTATATTCAATGTCATTCCTTTTCAATTGGAATCTTTTACATTCCTTTTAAGTTTAAATCGAAATTTCTTTACATTCCATTCTTTACTTTAAAGTTTTTTATTACTACTTTCAAAGTAACAATCTCTATCGAAGAGATTGAAACCCACTAAAACTTAAAAAATACGAAATATACACTTATGTCCTAGGAATAATCTAGTCGATCCTACAAGTAACCAAAGTCAATGGAAATTGGAAGACTAGCGTTTGTTTGCCAAATTTTACGGTAAATAAGTATATACTATACGCTTAACAAGCAAGTACTCATCCATGTCCACTGCCAGAGTTGCAACTTTATATTCCACACAATCACTCTCTTGAATCCAAGGTTCTTAGTGATAAAAAAATCCTTCATAAATACTCCATAACTTCGCTTTCTCCGCTTTGATGGAACCACACTTTCCAATGGATTTGTAAAATCAACCTTTGCACTCGCCATGCTTGTCTCTTATAACACAACCGGAATTTGATTTGAATAGAAAGATTTTGATTGAGAGGGTTTTGGGGGATTTTATGTTTAGTCAGAACACAAAATCCTCCTAATTTAGGGAACTAAAAAATTTAAAAAATACAAAATATACACTTACGTCCTAGGATCAATCTAGTTTATCCTACAAGTAACCAACACCATTAGAAATTGGAAGACTAGCGCTTGTTTGCCAAATTTCAAGGTAAACAAGTATATACTATACGCTTAATAAGTGAGTACTCATCCATATCCACTGCCAGATTTGCAACCTTATGTTCCACACTTAAAATTACTCTCTTGAATCCAACGTTCTTAGTGATAAAAAAATCCTTCATAAATACCCCCATAACTCCGTTTTGATGGTACTACACTTTCCAATGGATTTATAAAATCCACCTTTGCACTCACCACACTTGTCTCTTATAATACAACCGCAACCCGATTTGAATAGAAAGGTTCGAAGGATTTTGTAGGGCTTACACAAATCTTTGAAAATATAATTAATGATGTTATAGTATTTCAAAAATAAAAAATATGTTAATTATAAACTCTTTTATCATTGTATATTAATTTTTTTTTAAATTATTTTTTTGAAATTCTTCCTTCCCCTCCTTTTCAAACTCTAAAACAAAGCCTAAGAAATTATTTAAAATTGATTATTCTTTATCCGTAGTAGGTAAAGCAATTACTTTATTTCAAAATAGGTTTAAACAATTTAAATTATATAATGATATTTTTGGATTTCTTTTTAACATGGTGAAAATAAGATCAATTGACATATTTAATTATGTAAGAATAATTGATGATTTCTCAAATACATATATTACATATAAGGTAATGTTAACAATTCCTATAAGTGTTTTTTCTGCAGAACATAGTTTTTAAAATTAAAATTAGTAAAATCTTATATAAAATCAATAATGTTTCAACAGATATTAAATGGGTTGACTTTATTATTTATTGATTTTTTTAAAAAAATATTGATTTTAATAAATGATTTTGTATCTTAAAAATTCAAAAAATAAAATATATTTATAAAAAAATTAATTTAGAAAGACTCAATTCTTAAAATTCGCTTTAGACATCAGTATTGATTCAGGCCTTGATTGTCTCTTAAATTGTTAGTGGTAGGAATTCTGTTTAGTTGTTTTTAGTTGGATGTTGTTTCTGTTTTCTGTTTCAGATTTGTTTGGCTGCGTTTTCTTAGACCTTTGATTGCAGTTTTGTTTGTTGTTATTTTTTGTATTTAGGATATGCACTTCTTCTTATGCCTTTTAACAATTTTAATTATAAAAAAAGAAACTCTAAATATTCCTTTTTTTTCACTCTAGTTAACATGCAAGGATTCATTGCCTATGTTTTGATTCTTTCTTTCATTTCACCTTATATATGTCCAACATTGGAATATGTAACCGAAAATAATACTTATAATGTGATGCAATATGGTGCAATTGGCGATGGAAAATCTGATGATACACAAGTATATGCTCTTATTTTTTATCTTAATAATTTTAATTTATATCTATTTCATATCATTGTGTGACCTTGACAATATTTATTATTTATTATATTTATATAATAAATTGTAGGCATTTTCAAGTGCATGGAGTAGTGCCTGTAATGCAGAAGGAATGTCAACATTGGTTATACCATCTAAAAAATCATTCTTGGTGACCAAAGTAAACTTTAGCGGTCCCTGCGATGCTAAAATTCTCTTTCAGGTATATAACATTACTACGCATCGCTTTTTTTCTCTTTGGAAAATTAAAATATTTAGGAGCTCTATAAAATACTTAGACAAATTTTATTTACTTTAATCTATATAAAATTGCAGTTTGAAGGAAAAACAGTTGCACCTGGTAAAGAAGAGTGGAAAGCTGAATCGCATTGGATTACAGTCGGATATTTAAATGGAATTACAATTGATGGTAATGGTCTGGGAGAAATTGATGGAAATGGTTCTACTTGGTGGGATTGTTCGAATTGTGTTCGACCAGTGGTATGTATTGTCGTTATAAACTAAGGTTTAGAAATATTTAACTTCAATAATTAAGCAGATAATTAAAATTTTGAAGTTGTTATGAGTATATTGTGACATTTTTTAAATGGTACAGGTGTTTCATTTTCATTCATGCAATGATCTTACTGTTAGTAACCTAATGATCAGTAATAGTCCGAGAGCTCATGTATCTGTTAATCAGTGTAATGGTGCAACATTCTCTAATATATCCATTGATTCTCCTGCTACTAGTCCAAACACTGATGGATTTGACATTTCTTCCTCCACTAATATCTCTATACAAGATTCCAATATAAAAGCTGGTAATTAAAGTTTAAAATGGTTTAAAAAATATAACAGTCATATATTATCCTTAAAATGATCAACTTTTATATAATTTTTTTTTTGTGATGAACATGTAATTTGTTTAGGCTTTGTTTATTTTTAATAGGTGATGATTGTATCGCAATCAATGGTGGCTCATTTTTTGTGAATGTTACTCGAGTTACTTGTGGACCAGGCCATGGAATAAGGTTTATAAAATATATATTTTAAAACTTTTATTTTCATATATAAAAATTTAAAGAGATCAAATATATATATATATATATATATATATATATATATATATATATATATATATATATATATATATATATATATATATATATATATATATATATATATATATATATATATATATATATATATATATATATATATATATATATATATATAAACTAAATTTTTTATTTAAATATCAAATGTGTGTTTTTACAATAATATACTAGTAGCAAGAGGTTAAATTCTTTGACACTTGCATATTTATTTTGATGTGTCTGAATTATATAGTATACATGTATTTATATATTTATCGAGACATCTCATTAAAACATGCATTTTATATTTTTATCAGTGTTGGTAGCCTTGGTAAATTTAATTCAACGGAGAGTGTTTCAGATATTTATGTACGAAATTGTACTTTCATGGGATCTACTAATGGAGCAAGAATCAAAACAATTTTGGTGAGTATTCTAATTTTTTTTTAAAGCAAAACATATTAAATAGATGAAATAATTTTAAAATAAAATTTTCTCAAATACTTTGCCAATTATAACTTTATATTTTTATCAACTTTTAAATAATATTCTATGTAAATAAAGATTTATTTAAACAAGTAATGTATAACAATATCACTATATATATATATATATATATATATATATATATATATATATATATATATATATATATATATATATATATATATATATATATATATATATATATATATATATATATATATATTATAACAAATGTAATTTAATCATTTATTTGCAGGGTGGATCAGGTTATGCAAAAAATATTATATATGAACAAATCATCCTTGAAAATGTTAAAAACCCAATAATTATAAATCAGGACTATCATTATAATCTAGAGGTGCATATTTGACTCATTAATTTATCCGGTCATTTCAACAGTGTGTTTCATTGTTGTCAAATTTTAAAAATTTATGTTTCAAATTTTTATTTTATTGTAATGGTTAGGAGGTATCATCTGTGTCGGTGAATTCGGTGACATATCGAGGATTTAATGGAACTTTTGTTGGCAATGTAGCTATTAACTTAAATTGTAGTTCATCTGGCTGTTTTAATATTCTATTGGATAAAAACAACATTGTAGCTGCTAAAGAAGGAGGAAAAACTTTTGTCTTTTGTAGAAATGCTCATGGAACAGTTAGAGATACTATTCCAAATGTCTATTGTCTTTCTGAATAATGTGGTATTGGCTATGACATTCATATGTTGCAATCTAATTTCAAAACTTATTTATCGAGAGGCTAAAAGAATAAAGACCAGATCTCGAATTTACAATATTTTTTAGCTTCATTATTGGAAGCAAATAAAATAATAATAATAATATAAACACATACTTCTTTTATCTATAATTCGTTTTATTCTTCATTTATCTCTATTTGTTTCTCTAAATTATAGTGTGTATCTAATAAGATAGTAAAATATTAAACTAAAAAAGAGCATTAAACACTACCACAAAAAAAAAAATTTATCACAGTTGAAATAATGAATGGTGTGATAATAACTGTGTTATGAATAAAAAGTATATTTTTTAATTTTACATATATCTTATTATTATAATTTATATTTTTGTGAATCATAAAAGATATATAGAACACAATAATAATAATTATGACCCAAAAATATATATTATATCAAAATCAAAATAACATATATTTTATACATCACTCTCGTGTCCGTCTGTCTGTTTTTTTTTACCGCACTAACGCATGTATATCTTGTTCTGGACTGGGCCTGCCCGTGGCCCAATTACCAGCGAGGCCCAATCCAAGCTTAACAACATACCATGCTGAGTATTAGACTCCCCGACACGCCCCGATCATGGGTGTCGTCGAATACAATTGTGCCCGTCGGTGGCCGCGAAGAGCGTCCCTGACGAGGGACGTCCCAGACGAGAAACATCCCAATCTAGGCCCTGCTCGAGCTCACTCTTCGTAGGGCAGACTCTCAACCTCTCCGAATATCTCGGAGTCCTCAGGGTCCCGGGAAGATCGCGTCTTCACCTCCCTATTCTGCGGAGAGCATCATCCAGTTAGGGGACCACGTGCGGGTCCCCGCTACTCCACGTAGAACCTGGCAGTCCCTTTGTTGGGCCTGTTTGGTCAGCCCAGTAAAGGGACCTTGACCCAGTGCTGGGGGCTATAAATACCATCTATTTCAAGAAGGTCTGGTATTCATTTCATACACAACTATATACTACTTGTCTGCTCATTTCGTCTCTCACTTTGTCATCGGAGTGCCTTGCAGGTATCCCCCATCTCCTTCAAATTCAGTTCAAATCAGCTATGACGATCCAACTCTTATCAGGTACGATCATATCTTTTAGGATGTTTTTTATGTACGCCTCATTAAAATGAGAATTTGAAATTTTAGATACAATGCTTACAATCAATGAATATTTATAACTCTCTCTCTCTCAAAATTTTTTTTCAAATAATAATAAATTAATAAAACTGTTGAATTAAAAAAGAAAAAAAAGCAAAATGGATGATTTATAAAAAAAAAAAATTGTTCAAGATTTAAAAAATAATATCATCGTAAATGCACATGGACGTTTTTACATTTCGATGCTCTTCTGAATTTATTACAAAAATGAAATGAAATTTACAAAGAGAGATTCTCTTTTGGATAATTTGACAAAAAGATTAATGAGACGATGAAAATTCTTGCAAAAAAGGAGAGATGGCACTTGAAAAAGGAAATTAATGAGACGATATTATTCTTACAAAAAAGGAGAGAAGACACTATGAGAAAGGAAATTAAAGAGATGATGAGTATTCTTGCAAAAAAGGAGAGAAAGAAGTCATATTGTGTTCTACAAAATGGAGATAGGGAAAATGAAACACAAACTGCAAGTTTTTAATATTTAAAACTAAAAGAAATAAACTGCCAAACTATAAAATTTATTGCGAGTAAATTAGTTTGATATTTTTTGAAATAATAAAAGTTAATAAATAAATATTAGATTATTTTATCTTTGCCTTTGTGAGGGTTCGAACCGATGACCTTCTATAGAGAGTAACAATATGTTTTAACCATTGAAAATTAAGATGGATTATGAGAGATGCCACGTAGGCAAATAAGTGATGTGGCACAAAAAAATTTGAAGTGTCGCAAGATAATTTGATGCACTAGAAACACCATAAAGTAGGTACCTAAGGATCAGATAATCTACATTGCTGATCTCCTTAATGGCGTCATTGAAACACCAGTCATGGTACCTGGATAGTGGATGCTCGCGACACATGACAGACGAAAGACATATGTTCCAATATTTAGAACTTAAGTCTGGAGACGTCGTTGGTTTCAGAGGCAATCAGAAGGGAAAGATCATCGGCTCTGGAATAATTTATAATGCTAAATTTCCTTCTATTAATAATGTTCTTTTAGTCGAAGGTCTGATGCATAACTTATTATCAATTAGTCAACTTAGTGACAATGGTTATCACATCTTTAATCAAACGTCTTGTAAAGTTGTTAGTCAGCAGAATGGCTCAGTTCTGTTCAATGGAAAGAGGAAGAACAATGTTTACAAAAAACAATGATCAGATTTAAATAATCAAAATGTAAAATATCTTCTAACTGTTCAAGAAGAGAAGTGGATCTGGTATCGACATCTGGGTCATTTAGCTTGAGAAAATTGTCTCAACTAAAAACTTGGATTAGTCAGAGATTTGCCCAATCTGAAGTATACTTCAAATGCTCTTTGTGAAGCTCGTTTGAAAGAAAATTTTTCAAAAACCTCTTTCAAAGCTAAAAAGATTGTTTCTACTTCTAGGCCATTAGAACTTCTTCACATTGACTTATTTAGACCAGTGAAAACTGCTTCCGTCAATGGTAAGAAATATGGACTTGTTATCATTGATGATTACATAAGGTGGACATTATTGAAACACAAGGATGAGTCATACTCTGTATTTGCTTCCTTCTGTTCCCAAGAGCAAAATGAAAAAGGCTGCAGAATAGTTAGAGTTTAAAGAGATCGTGGTGGAGAATATGAAAATAAATATTTTGAAAAACTTTTTGATTCAAATGGCATATTACATGATTTTTCTTGCCCTATAACTCTACAACAAGATGGGGTTGTAGAAAGGAAAAATAGAACCTTATAGGAAATGGATTTCACCATGATCCAAGAAACTCAAATGGCTAAGGATTTCTGAGAAGAAGCAGTAAATACAACATGCTATATTCAAAATAGAATCTCCATAAGACCTATTTTGTGTAAGACTCCTTATGAATTGTGGAAGAATAGAAATCCCAACATTTCCTACTTCCATCCATTCATATGTATTTGTTATATGCTAAACACTAAAGAGAATCTGGGTAAGTTTGATTCCAAAGCACAAAAGTGCCTTCTATTAGGATATTCTGAACGCTCTAAAGGCTTCAGAGTCTATAACACAAAATCACAAATTATGGAGGAATCAATCAATTCATGTCATATTTGATGATAAGTTTGACCATGAACAGTTAAAGTTGTGTGAAAAGCTTGCAGATGTGACGATAACATTCACTAAGCTAAAGGAGAAGTTTCAAGAAGATAAAGAATCATAAGCTCCTCCTTATGATAATGTTGATAGTCCTTCTAATATAACTCAACCAAAGAAGAACATAACACATCCTATCATCCTGAAGATCTTATTCTTGGAAGTAAAGATGCTCCAGTCAGAAAAAGATCGACTCTCAAACCTTCAGATGAAGTGCTTCTGGGTTTAGTCTCTTTAGTAGAACCTACATCAATTAAGGAAGCCCTTCTGGATAAGTATTGGATTCTGGATATGGAGGAAGAACTGAACCAATTCTCAAAGAATGACATATGGGATCTTGTTCTGAAACCTAAAGGTGTACATGTCATTGGAACCAGATGGGTGTTCAAAAATAAGCTCAACAAAAAATGAGAAGTGGTTAAAAACAAAGCTCGACTAGTTGCACAAGGTTATAGTCAACAAAAAGGTATAGACTATACAGAAACCTTTTCACCAGTCACCAGGTTAGAAGTTATTCGGTTATTAGTTCCTTTTTCGTAAATCATAACATCATTATTTATGAAATGGATGTTAAGAGTGCATTTATGAATGGTTACATTTCAGATGAAGTTTATGTTAAACAACCTCCTGGTTTTGAAAAAACTGAAAAATTAAACTATGCTTTTAAACTAAAGAAATCTCTTTATGGCTTGAAACAAGCTCCCAGAGCTTGGTATGACAGATTGAGCAATTTTCTGCTAGAAAATAAGTTTACCAGAGGAAAGGTTGACACTACACTCTTCTGCAAAACATCCAAAAATGATATTCTAATTGTTAAAAGTTATGTCGACGATATTATTTTTGGTTATTCCGATCCATCTCTCTGAGAGGAATTCTCTAAGCTAATCCAGGACGAGTTCAAAATGAGCATGATGGGGGAACTGAAGTTCTTTCTGGGAATCCAGATTGATCAAAAACCAGAGGCTACTTACATACATCAAAGTAAGTACACCAAAGAACTTCTGAAGAAATTCAACATGACATACTACATTATAGTTGTCGCACACTTTTCTGGCGCTCAATTGCGATAGTGATGATATGAAATAGAAATTTAGCGGTAAAGATTTGAGATTAAGCCATTAATTGACTTAACTCAACGCAATGAAGTCGCCACCGCACTTTATTGTTTCCAAAGGGAAATGGGAAAAAAGCGAGCAAAAACCAAAAAGATCAGAGATCGAGGTACGGGGGTAGGTTATGCAAAGGGAAGGTATTAGCACCCTAAGCATCTACGATATTCAGCAGGATCCACTTTGTTTGGTTTCTTTTAAAAGGAGTGTTATGTAAAGGTTTACTTGCTAAAGGGAAAGAATGAATGTTTATTTGAAAACAAAAGAAAATGAAATGTTTTATTATTATTTTTGTTGCTCGCCTTGGGTCGTAAGACTTAGTGCCTACGTACTCCCTCGTGCAATGGAAAAGTCAGAGCACCGTAGTTCGGCTAGAAAAGACTTGTCTGTTGATTGTTTTTAAACAAGGAGACAAGTCGTCATTGTTAGGAGAGAAAACTCGACTAACGGCCATAAGGTGTGAAAAATATGGACCATGCGTCAGTAAGAGTGAGGGTTTGAGAACGCCTCTGGTACTCAAGTGGAAAAGTCGACACCTTTATAACCATAGGGATATGAGAATGTTGCTCAACTATCAATGAAT